CAAAAAAGAAAAAAGATTATTTTATTAATAATAAATAATTTATAATGCAAATGTCATCCTCCTACTAGGTGTCATTGCATGTACTTGTTGGTGCTATTCTTTTGTGGCGTGATAATGGCACATTATTACTGACAGTGTGCTACTCTGTGTCATGCTATTCTGTGCTAATCAATGACTAGTGTATGCTGTTCTTCTGTGGCATAATAATCCCATGGCATGCTATTATGTGCTATGCAGGGCTACCTTATGCCATGTGAATTGGAACTGCTATAATAATGGCACATTAGCACTGTGCTATGTCATGCTGTTCTGTGCCAATCTGCCGCAGTGACTATTCTATTCTATGCTATGCTATCTCATGACATGTTAGTTGTGACTACTATATAGTCTATATTAGTATGTAGCGATTTCCACTACATTCTGCTTGTTCGTGCTATTGCTTCTTTAGCATTGTGGCGTATTACTACCAGTGTGCTATGCGATGCCATGCTATTTTGACCTGATGTGCCACTACGCTATACTAAGCTATGCTATGTTATGCCATGCTATGCCATGACATGTCATGCCTAGCAACTATGCTATACTATGCTATGCTATGCCATGCCTAGCATGCCTAGCATGGCACTATGCTATGTCATGCCATGTGATTCATGTTATTCTATGCTGTGCCATTGTACTATGCTGTGCTATGCTATGCCATGATGCCCTATGGGCCTATGTTATGCTTACTTCGACTGCCATTTCCTGATTTCCTCTGCCTACTGAAATCATTCCCGGAGTTTGACTTCTACACGTCTTCGCTGTACAACGCCTAAAGCACCTTTTTCACCAATAGGTCCATCGATAGGTGCATCAATATGTGCATCAATCGGTGCATCAATAGGTGCCTCCAAAGCATCAACAACAACACCCAAGATAGTTCTTCTTGGTGCATTCCTTCCATAGCACATTGGCGTAGTATGAGGACTAGTCTATGTGATGCCGTGCTATTCTGTGCTTCTAATGCTAATATGCCGCTATGCTATGCTATGCTATGCTATTTGGGGATTTTCTTTTGCCTTGTCTGTTACTGAGCTGACAGGCAGGTGGTAGAGGTTGTAG